GTAAGCTGACCGGTTAGTGCCCTCTGCCTGCACTGCGAAGCTCTTGTGCTTGTCAGAGTTCACTCCCTTACAGCATGTTAGGTCAGTTCCCTGCAGCTTTTGGCCCATGGAGGTAAAGCAAGGCTGATGAGTTGATCCTTCTGGTTGTGTACGGGAAGCTTTTCCTACTTTAGCAACACTCGGGAGCAAGAACTTCAGACAAAAGTAGAAAGGAGGGACCGGCTGTGTGGGTAGGTGAGGTTGGCCAGCCCAGGGCAGAAGCTGAGTGCGGCCTGTGCCAGGTGTCCTCGAGCGAAGACCTGATGTCGTTTCTTTTCCTTTTCCTTAGTCACGTTTCTCTCTAGTGCCAGTACTGCACTTTCAATGCAGAACAATTCAGTGTTTGGGGACTTGAAGTCAGATGAAATGGAGCTGCTATATTCGGCCTACGGAGATGAGACGGGCGTGCAGTGTGCGCTGAGGTGAGCCGTGTGTGGGCCCTGCTTGTGCACGTGTGGGAGGAAGCCACTGCAGCAGGTCCAGGCGGCAGCAGGGATTTCCATGTTGTCAGGAATCCACGCTGGTCTGCTGCGGGCCCTGTTGAGATTCCGAAACTTATTCACAATCTGTAGAAGGCTATGATTCAGGCTGTAGCTCAGGAAAGAGTTTTGTTTTACAATTGTATGGAAATGTGTTTCTCTGTGACTGCATTAGTCAGCTAGGGATGCCACAACAAAGTCCCACAGATGGGGTGGCTTAAACAACAGACAGGTGTTCTCTCACAGGCCTGGAGGCTGGGTGTCTCAGACCAAGGTATCTTCAGGGCTGGTTTCTCCTGAGGCCACTCTCCTTGGCTGGTAGATGGCTGTTTTCTCCCTGTGTCCTTACGTGGTCTTCCCTCTTTGTGTTCTGTTTTTTGTTTTCTGTCACGAAGTAGAAGTGGGTCACTCTTGAAGAATTTTAGTAATTTTTTATAAGGAAAATAACTTAATTTTCTTAGCTTCTAAGAGATGGAATCTTTCCATATCAGACCTTTGTTTTATTCCTGAAAGAATGCAGAGTATATTTGAAAAATAAACAAGAATTCAGTTAGTCCCTAACAAAAGAAAGGAATATCTGACCAAGACTCTTGGGATAAAAAAATGTAAAAGTGGAAAACTGAGGAGGAAATTTTTTTTGAGAGAAGGTGGCGTCTTTATACATTTTCTGTCACTTAGACTACTTTAAACTGGAAAATTTATAAAGAAAAAATTTCTTATGGTTTTAGGGGCTGGGAAGTCCAAAGTCGAGGGGCACATCTGGGGAGGCCCTCTTCCTGGTGGGGACGCTGTAGAGTCTCGGGGTGTGCAGGCAGTGTCACAGTCCAAGGGCTGAGTGTGCTGATATGCCCACTTCCTCTCCTCATGAAGCTGCCACTCTACTCTCATGGTAACCCTCAAATCCATGAGTGGATTAATCTGTCCATGAGGGTATAGACCTCACAATCCAGTCTCCTCTTTCAACTACCACATTGGGGATTAAGTCTCAGCCTGAGTATTGGAGGGGACACATTCAGCCACAGCAGACGGTGTCATAAGTCAGAAACCAAAGGCCTGGTGATTCCCCACCCCGCCTCTCTGTCACTCACTGGGGAACCCCCAGCCAGACTGGGCTCTACAGGTGTCGGTGCCCCTCATGTTACCCCATTAGCGGCTCCCGGCTCTTCAAGGATGCCAGTGCCCCGTTGTTAAGGAGGCAGTTGTCACCAGATGACTAGAACGTGCACAGGTTCTCTGTGTTGTGCAGCAGAGGTCATAGCAGTGGCGCTGTGGGCGCCACAGGAAAGCAGGTGGCACAGGCCTGGGGCAGGCTGGGCGCACACCCTGCAGATCCTGTCCTGGGGCACCTCTGGCCCAGGGGTGCACGCACACGGAATGTGATAGTGTGTTGCTGCCCTTCACACAGTCCTGTCGGGCTGTTTCACATCATCACAGTTTAGCTTCTAGACCAGCAACCCTCCTTGTTCCTGTACGTGAAGGTCTTTGACATCTGGGGACTGGATTTTTGCTTCCTGCCCACTTTGAATTTTGTTTACCTATTTTATTTTATTTTATTACTCTAATGCATTTATATGGTCAGAAAATGAAAGTGATACTAACGGTGTACATTGGAAGCCTCCTGTGTGTCCCCTCTGCTCCACTCCCACCAGGAGGCAGCTGCTCACCACCACCTCTGTACTTTTTTTTTTTTTTTTTTTTTTTTTTTTTTT